TTTGGGATTGCACCCAAAGTATCTATTATTGTCGGTACTATATTCACTTTCTTTTGCCAGTAGTCATTCTATTTCTATTTGCAGGTCTTTGTATTTTGTGATCTTCTCCAGTTCTTTCACTTTACTTGCTCAATGTCTATTGTCTAGATTTTTTTGTTTTTCTATAAACAATTGATAGAATTGGGGTGTTACATGGCAGGTGTTTGTCTGCTTGAATTGTAAAGTCTCAGAGCAGTTTAGCTTCTTCATGTTCTATTATATTGTCTGTTTTGTTGACTAATCAGTTATTATCATTAGCATTATGAGTATTTAATTGTAACTGAGATGATGGTAAGACCATTTTATATTTTATATTCCTTCCAAGGCTGGATTCAAACCTAGGTTCCTGTACTGGATAGCCACTATTATTTTCTTCCAGAATCCTAGGTAAAAAAATATTTGTAACTGCTAGCAATGGCCAGTTTTCATTGACAATTCTCATCTTAAACATGACCCCAAAACTTATGGCAACAACACTTCACCTCATTTTTATATAGTTCTGTCTTTTTAACATTCTGGATCCTGATAAACATTAAAATTTTTATCATTCTGATTAAGTAATAATAACTGTTTATTTCTGATTGTTCAGAGATACCGGTAGAGAGGCAGGGTGCAGTGGAAACAAGAAAAGAGAGAAAGAACAGGTCAGAATACATATTAAATTAATATTTTTGTTAGGTCAATTGAAGCTTTACAAAATATTGTAAAACCTTTGGTTTTCCAGAACTCTTACTCAGTCACAATGGTTTAAAAATGGGGTGGAGAGAAAAGGAAACAAAGCAGGCTTTTATAAAGGGTTTACATTATTTTTTTAAAATAATTTAGAGGGCTCTTGCACAATAGATATGTCTCGTTGAAAAGCTCTATTTTTTTAAAATATAAATCTTGTAATCAGCCATTGTAGCCTTTTTAAATTTATTCCATCACTTTTTAGTTTTTGAAAAACTTACAAAATAGCTTACAGAACAGTAACATCCAGATGTTCCTGTCTTTGAGTTTACATTATTAAAAAACCCTACAAAGAACACTCTAGGAGTCCTATTGGACAACTACTTAAATATGAATCAGCAGTATCCTGCAGCTGCCAAAAAAGCCATTGCAGTCCTAGGCTGCATCAACAGAGGGATAGTATCAAGCTCATATAAAATGTTGGGAGAAATATCAACACCTAAGATATGCAGATGATACCACTCTAATGGCAGAAAGTGAAGAGGAACTAAAGAGCCTCTTGATGCGGGTGAAGAGGGAGAGTGCAAAAGTTGGCTTGAAATTCAACATTAAGAAAACCAAAATCATGGCATCCGGCCTTCTCAATTCCTGGCAAATAGATGGGGAAGAAATGGAAGTAGTGACAGACTTTATTTTTCTGGGCTCCAAGATCACCTCAGATGGGGACTGCAGCCAAGAAATTAAAAGATGCTTGCTCCTGGGGAGGAAAGCTATGGCAAATCTAGATAGTATACTAAAAAGCAAAGACATCACCCTGCCAACAAAAGCGCGTATAGTCCAGGCCATGGTTTTCCCAGTTGCAATGTATGGCTGTGAAAGTTGGACCATAAGAAAGGCTGAGCGCCAAAGAATTGAGGCCTTTGAACTATGGTGCTGGAGAAGACTCCTGCGAGTCCCTTGGACTGCAATGCGTTCAAACCGGTCAGTCCTAGAAGAGATCAACCCTGACTGCTCTTTAGAAGGCCAGATCCTGAAGTTGAAACTCAAATACTTTGGCCACCTAATGAGAAGGAAGCACTCACTGGAGAAGGGCCTAATGCTGGGAAAGATTGAGGGCAATAGAAGAAGGGGATGACAGAGAATGAGATGGCTGGATGGAGTCACTGAAGCAGTAGGTGTGAACTTAAATGGACTCCAGAAGATGGTAGAGGACAGGAAGATCTGGAGGAACATTGTCCATGGGGTCGTGATGGGTCGGACACGACTTCGCAATTAACAACAACAACTGTTTGGTAAGATCACACTTGGAGTACTGCATCCAGTTTTGGTCACCATGATACAAAAAAGATGTTGAGACTCTAGAAAGGCATTATGAAGTGGCACTCAGAGACTAGAAGCATTTGAAATGTGGATTTACAGGCAGCTGCTACGTATAAAATGGGTTGACAAGATCAGAAATGAGGAGATGATAAGCCATCTGGGAAAGCCAAGGGAAATCATCAAAACAATTAAAAAATGAAAATTAGAATATTTCGGACATGTGATGCGACACCCAGAAAAATACGGCATACTCCATTTAATCCTCCAGGGAAAGATTGAAGGCAAACAAGGTCCTGGCAGAAGAAGACCATTGTGGCTTCAAAATCTAAGGGACTGGTTTAGACAAAACTCAGCAGCACTTTTTCGTGAGGCTGCTAATAAAAACAGGATCGCCAACATGATCGCCAACGTCCGATAATGGATATGGCACAACAAGAAGAAGACGATTAACATTTCACATAATCTTGATTCTATCTGTCAGGTCCCCAAATACTTATTGTCCCCCTTCCTGTATGTATGTATGTATGTATGTATGTATGTATGTATGTATGTATGTATATTTTAAAAATTACATTAAAAATTGAAGAATAGCGATTCCTGGGTACATACATTTCAGTAAAAAAGGAAGCGATCACCAGGAAATAAAACACCAAGGTTTTAATAAATAAAATCAAGCTTTCGATGGCTAACATCTGCCATCATTGTCAGGATACAAGCCAGCTAGTTAGGAAACCTGCTTATAAGCATAGCCACACCTAAACTCTACGCATGGACCTTGTAACAGGTCCAAGCCAACTAATCCTTACTTCACTTACAGCCTTCAGTGATTCTTTCTTTTAGCTCTTATTTACATCCACCTAGCTTTCAATGGCTAGCACCTGCCATCATCATGAGAATACAAGCTAGCTAGTGAGGAAACCTGCTTATAAGCATAGCCACAGCTAAACTCTACGCATGGACCTTGTAACAGGTCCAAGCTGACTAATCCTTGCTTCACTTACAGCCTTCAGTGATTCTTTCTTATAAAGACCATGAAGCAGGGAAGGAGACCAGTCGCTGAATACACTGAAGAATTCAGAGAGCTGGCCAGTTGCCTTCACTGGCCTGAAGACATCCTGGTGAGCTGTTTCTAGGGTGGGCTCAATGAAGAGCTCTACAATGCCTGCATGGCCTGTGGAGCACCAAGGAGGCTTTATGACTGGTGCCTGCTAGCTGAGGAAATGGAAATCGATCAACGCAAACACCTACATTGCCCAGTGAGACTGAGCTTCAAGCCACAGTCAGAGAAGTGAGGGGAGACCGCATGAAGTTCACCTGCTCCAGCTCGTAGCACCGTCTGCTTCAAATGAGGCAAAGAGGGGAATTAAGCTATGGATTGCCACAGCAAGATACTGGCCAAGAGAGGGGATCATCTACCAACTGGAAGACCTCCAAGAACTTCATTGCACCTCAGGGAGACTGCGATGAGTTTCAAAGAAGTTGTAGAGCTTCCCTGGGATCACAACTGAGAGGATCGAGCTCCAACTCCACGCCATAATGACCCAGGAGCGGCGGAAGTAGCAAGTCCGTCAGAGCCCTGGAGAGAGATCTCTATAGATTTTATCATAGAACTCCCTGAAAGTGCTGGAAACACTGTAATTTGGATTGTAATGGATTTGTTTTCTAGATAAGTGCATTTCATCCTATGCCCCAAGATCCCAACTGCAAAGACTCTTGCCAAATTCTCTGTGCAGAACATATATCATTTTCATGGGGCCTCACAACATATAATTTCAAACAGAGGGTTCAATTCACCTCTAAGTTCCGGAAAGCTTTTCTGGACTTGATGGGTTCTAGTCTAGTTATCATCTTCACACCATCTGTAAATGAATGGGAAGACAGAGAGACTGAACTCAGTTCAAGAACAATACCTGAGATGTTTCATTAATTACCAGCAAGACAATTGGTCTGACTTGTTACCATTTGCTGAGGTGACATACCAATGCTGTGTACTACAGTATGGATTTATTCCATTTCAAGTAGCTAATAGACAAACATTTGTGGCCATGCCTGAACTTCCTGTCAAGGAGCCTGAAATCCTCTCCTTGCAAAAATGGATTAAGCAGTTACAAAATATCTGGCCAGTAGTCCTGAAAGCTCTGGATGAAGTCAGAAAAGCCTATAAGGTTCAGGCTGATAAATGGAGGGGGAGTGAGTCAGCTTCTTCCCACCGGTTGCCTGGTTGCCATGACAATTAATCATTTCATTACTCTTCTTGGCAACAGATCGATTTATGGTCTGGGCTGTGAGGCCAGCAAGAGGAGAATGCTTACTTTGTGGCCTTACGGAGTGGCTTTTTACACAAAGGAAAGCAGCATTCTCTGGCAAGCTGTTTCAGCCAGATTAACAAGCAGAGAACTGGCTATTGCAGGGAATACTGCACACAGATGTCAGCACACAGACATCTCTTTGCTTCCCAGCCACTTAATGAAGATATAGCTTTAGCCAGACCCATAAAGAGTTAATAGTCTCTTCTTATTCAGCTTAACTCCCTCCAAGTAAATGCATGAAGCTTGCTTCAATGATGCTAAGTTTGCAGGCGGGGGGGGGCTGCCCATTCTATAAGATGTTTTTAGACAAAGGCAACAGAAGTCTTTGAGATGCTGTCTCCCAGACATCAAGCAGAGAAAACATGCATTAAAGGAACTTCTGGGAGGGTGGCTAGTGAGCAGCCAGATAAAGATGCAGCTTTAGTCAGGCAGAAAATGGCAAGCATGCTTTTCTTGGAGCAGACATTAATCTTTTTTCTTTACTTTGCAACATTGGCTAGCAGACAGAAAATACTGCTTTTTACTTGCAAGGATGCAATCTATTAGCATTAATTTTTCACTTTGCCTGCAGCAGAGATGAAGATTAAATACTGTTTTTTACTTTAACGAAGAGTGAGTGTTTATTCTTTTGAACAGCATTTGTATGCAGCTGGTCTTGTGTACCATGGGGTGATTACTCTCATGATGTAAGATGCGGTCTGTATGTGTTGCTTTGCGGTAGACGATTGTGGAGAGGGCACCGTTAGGTTGATGCCTGATCAGCACATCCAGGAATGCCAGAGTGCCATTGGTTTCCTGTTCTGCCGTGAATTGAATGTCAGGGTAAATTACCTTGTCTCCTAAGTTTCTCCGTTGCCTTGCTAAGCTGATTTTTGAGTGACCTCATCGGGTCTTTATCGACGGTCTGATATGAGATCTTGTCATTAAGTAAGGCATGGATCTTGGAGTCATATTCAGACCTCTCCATCCGTCCTCTGCCCCCCCTCACAGTTGGCCGTTATATTTCTAATTGTGTCATATTGTCATGTTGGTCTGAAGCATTTCCTTCAATCTTGCAAAGGGGTGTGTCAATGTCTCCATTACTCTATTCACTATGCCCTCTTGCCTTTCCATGAGTAAACGCCCTGAATTTTTAGAATTTCTATGCCTGTGGAATAGAATAGAATAGAATAGGAAGCATTTATATATATGTTGTTTCTTTAAGACATTTCTGGGTAGAAAGAAGAAAGCTACACCTGAAAAACAAGTATGTAAATGTAGAAGCAACCTCTGGTGATCTGGCTATTCAATTTTCATATTAGATCTGAAAAATATGGCTCCATATTCCTTTAAGTATTACAGATGTGCTTAAGCAAGCCTCAGTCACCAAGTAATAATAATAATAATAATAATAATAATAATAATAATAATAATAATAATAATAATAATAATAAGCACTACCTTGACGTGGTTGTGGGGCTTGTGTACTCTGAGGAAGATGAGAGCTATGCCAGAGGTTCAACCATACTGGACAGGTCTCATCAGAGGAGTCAGACAAAGAGTGTCTCTCTCATAAAAAAATATGGTGAGACGTAAATTTCAGAATGCCATACCGGCTCGGACGTTGCCCGGGTTAACAAGGTCCGCGCTAGATATTGGAGTTCCTGGATATCTGGTGAAAAATGGGTTACAGGACTCAGGACTGTTGGCTGAGCAACCAGGGCCAGCAGCTGAAGAACTACTGGAAGAAAAGGTGTTTACCCGTCGCAGATACACAGTGATGGAAAACAAAGAAATAATGATCTGTTACTACAGATCAAGTCCAACAAGACAAATTTGCTATTAGTCAATTGCAAAAGGCGGCCTTATTAGGAACTGCTTCCATCCTGTGACGATACCTGTAATACCATCAAACATCCACATCTGCCTATCCCAGGTCCTGGGTAAGGACTCGATAGGTAGACAAAATGCCAAATCCAGTCTGAACATCTGGCTGACTGTGTGATGATTGATAATAATAATACTACAAATTAAAATGTGACTGGATGATGAACTTTTTAAAATTTAGCAAACTGCCTGGAATCACTTATGTTGACTTGGACAGTTACATAAATTTATTTAAATAAATAAATAAAAATATAATCCTGTCATTTTGGGAGTATATTAAACTCAGTGAGACTTACTTCTGAGTAAATAGGCTTTAGGGTTGGGTTGCAATGTTTGACATAGGTTGGCTTTTACTTGTGTAAGGTTTTTAGTTCAGAATTCCAATAAATCCAATAAGACTCTGAATACCAGGCAACTGAAATGAACACAGGTTTATTCTTTTGATCAAAGGAATAAGCTGGGCATCTCAATTTCTTGTCACACGCACGCGCTGCTATGAGATAGAGGAGAGTGAGAACAACCTAATCAGAAAAGTTCTGCTTTTTATAACAGATATACATTAGAAAATTCCTGCACATCTAAAAGGTTACTTTGAATTTCCTTATCTATTCTAGCTCAGTTACATTTCTGTATCTCTAAGCCTGAATACACAATAGTTCAATAGCTGGCAATTAGCCCAGGAACTTAACTTGTTACTTCTAGGCAGCTAAGGTAGGGAAGCGAAAGAAAAGCTGTCACGTTTACAATCCAAGGAGAAAAAGTGGTGGAAAAAAAGAACAAAGTCTGCAGATTCTTAGCTAGGCTTTTTCTATCTCTTGGAACAACACAGTTCAAACTTACAGAAACATTTTCTTTGGTCAGCACAATTTAAAATACAATGGAGAACATACAGCAAGCAAGCAAGAATAAATGAACAATAGCAGGGCTATGTTATATATGAAAGATTGATTATGCATAAAATTACACATTTTGAAAAATTATACTTTGATGGATCTCTTCATTGGTAACTGATGTCTATAGCCATTGTTTGTGCTCCCTCCGGATTTAACGGTTCCTCTTTTAAAGTCACTTATTGCATTTTAAAGTCATATAAGCCAGGCAGGATAATCTCTCCATGTTGCAGTAGTCTGGATAAAGATGGCAGCTTCCCAGCTGTTCCTTCTGAATTTGCCAGTTTCCACTACCTCTCACCATTTCTTCTGGATCCTGTAAGCCAATCTGTTATCTTCAGCAACAGGAGGCACCCTGATATTCTGCTCGCACAGAAGTAATTCAGAACCACTCTGGCTTCTCTCTGCAGAGGGAGAAGAAGGCAGTTGTCACAGCCAACAGTCTTGAGCCCAGCCTGTCCTACATCTGTAATTTCTAGAGATGACTGACAATTTGACATGCCCAAATATATACTATTATGGTATTTAGAAAAAAGAAATGTTTTGAACCATTTTTGGTAGGCATTTTTATCACATAGTTGAAATGATCAGAAAATTATTTATGGAATAAATCACAATGGCTGGATTCACAAAACTTGAAGGAAAATCTGACTTAAATGTGTGAGGTGTATTGAATCAAATATGTAAACCAGATGTTACAGTTTTATGTATTTTGCGTTATTTATCATTATTCCTATTTCAAGGAATGTCCTTTTCAAGAGACAACCACTTGCTACAATCACTTGTGACTTATTAAATATATCAAAATTAACAGACATGGTTTGTGGAGGTTATGTGCATTGCAACTATCTTTTCCATTAATTTTGGAGAGAGCATGCATGAAGCAAGACTAGTCTTTTGAAACAATCCCATAGAAATAGTAGTGATGCACACAATTTACTTAAACCAGAGTTGTATCGACCAGATGAATTGATAAAAGCCTTGTTCCCATACAATATTAAGCCATACATTTATTTCATAGATCATAATTAAACCGAAATTAAATAACATATTAAGCATAATAACACTTGCAAAGTTTAGGAATGTTAGTACTGGAGGAATAAATGCACAAATAATTTACATCAATTTCGCCTTCTGGAAAAAAAGAGAGACACATCTAGATAACCAAATCTTGTAATACTCCTATTAGGACACCTCTTCGGCCTATTTATCTAGGTTGATGTTACCTCATCAGAAGATGTCTTCATTTTTCTGGAGCTCGCTGTAGCTTGTTTTACCAAACAAGAAGGAGGATTTTAACACAGCAGGTGTTTTTTTCCTCTTATTGAAGAGTTTCATGAGAAGGCTTCTTCTAGAGATGAGAAAACCACAAGAGTTCTGGATAGTCAGTTTTCTGCGGTCCACTTTGATTAAATGGATGCCCAGAATGGAGGTGGTGTTGGCCGCATGGTTCTGGAGGTCTGTCTGGGTGTTGGAGGCCTCCTCCAGAGGCCAAAATCTTCTGGGACCCATGGTCTAGTGTTCAGGCACTCATCTGCTTTTGCAGAGAATGGATGCCTGACTTCCCACAAGATCAGGGCATCCAGGAGCTTCCAGGCTCTGTGCAAAAAGTGTTTGCACACCAACAGGAGGTTTGAAACCATGAAACTTAATTGCCCCAAACCTCCCTCCGGCATGCACATGATTTTCTGTGATGAGCCTGGAAGCCTTTGGAGGAGATTCACCGAGGCTGCCCGCCACTCCAGAAGTAGCCAGCAGCCTAATGAGTCAGAGAAGCAGAGCAGGGCATGCTCGTCCTGATCTCCCTCTTCTCTTGAAAGAGAAGACAAAGAAACAGGCTAGAGAGGAGACAGATCTTCACAAGATAAGTGACCCAGTGTGGCAGGATGGGGGGGGGAAGAGCAATTATGGGGACCCCAGGGGAGTGAGAATGTGGTATTTCAGTGGGTTGGGGAAGGCCTTGGGTGGTCTGAAACAGGTGGCCTGTTCCATCACTAGCCCCCCCCCCATGGCTTTCCTCACCCTGAGATACCTCATATTCATTAAATGAGCCATGCATTTGCCCATGCATTAAATTAGCAAATTCATGGGTGAAAACGGAGTGATTGCATTCAAGTTATGAGATTCACTCCAACAAATCCTCAGTTACAAATGGAATAGGAAGACTCCATTACATTTGTAACTTGAGGACTACCTATATTTGCACCTTAGATTCAAAGATATCACCCTGAAGCACAATTATTAGTGGTTGAGAAAAAAATCAGATAACGAATCAGAAGTGGTTTCTTCTGATATTCTCAATGAGCTTCATTAGATAACATTTTCTCAGGCAACAGTTCATTCAACGTTTCAAACTCATCAGTAGAAATTCTGGAGTTGCTTCCTCCAATTATCAAGTGTCTGAGAAGGTTTTCCTTTCTTGAATCCTGAGATTCAAGTTCCTTCTCCAAAACATTCTCTGTGATTTTTCTCTGAGTATTTTTCTCTTTTGCCTGCTCACTGATTACACTGAGGTTTCCATGTCTGGATCTTGCTGATATGTTGCCAGAATAAAGATGACTTTACCAGCCTCTTCCTCACCACCATCATCCGCTACAGTAGAAGAAGTCAAAGGAGGCAGCTTAGTCGGAAGACATAAAATGGAGTGTTTCTGTATGGAATATCTGGTGCTTCAGGAAGCCTGTTAAGGGAAGAAATCTGCTGAGGCTCTAGTAGGGCTTCAAGCTTCCCTGTTTTTTCAACATGGAATGTGAAGCAAGTTTTCCTTGCTCTGCTACACCTCTTCCAGTACTTTTTGCAAATCATCACATTTTTGTTAGGAACCTAGGAAATAACTCTGCTTCCCTTGGATTTTTTTCAAGCTGCTGATCTTCCTGAACTGTTTTGTGATGGCTCTTTCCAGAGGGCTTTTAGTCCCCAAGCTAATTTCACCAGAAGCATTTGAAATTTCAGCATCTACTTTCTTTTGGATCTCAATCTGACATTTCCCCCCTAACTCATCTATTATTTTTGGTTTGGAAGTTGCCTGCGGCCATATGTTAACTTTCAGAAGGACTAGTTGCCCTGCATGCTTCCAATTTTTCAACCATTGTATATGGAACAGGTTTTATTTGCTCTCCTGCAAGTTTTTCAATGGTTTCCTGCAAATCATCACATTTTTGTTAGGAACCTAATAAATAACTCTTCTTCCCTTGGATTTTTTTCAAGCTGA